CACCAAGTCAGGGTTTCCTAAATTTTTCAAAATAAAATATTTAGGTGGCGACTTTGTATCTGGCAAAGCAGTCCATGTTTTGCACTTCTTTTCTAAAAATCTGTTTTTCTCAAAACAATTTACCGGATTTGGACTCTTTCGTTCAGATTAAGAACCGTGACAATTCGAGAGTCTGAACTGTAGTGAGCCCAATATGAACAGAACGGGGACTCAACCTCTCGGGGCGTTCGGGGACGTCTACAGCTTGACAAGAAGGGATAAAAACTCATGTCTCCATTGGCAAATTTCCATATCAAGTTGATGAATTACTCCAATTAAATGGTGTATTTTTTCTTCTACCAAATAATATGGTAATGAAGAAACAACTTGGAAATTTTCTTCATCAAGAAAATGGATCTCTTCCTGAAAATCTAAAATTTTTCTTTCACGCCAATATATTTCATATTAACAAATTTGAATAGCAAAATCCAATTTGTTTGTCATTTCTTCTTTTATGCCTTCTTCAAGGCACTCATTTTCTCCTTGTCGTCTACGTCTAACCATTGTTATGGCAGTCCCATTGGTCGTGCCAAAAAATATATGTTCGCTTTTTTGGCTTTCAAGGTTAAAAATGTAATTAGAGCGTGCCAGTAAGAATCAATAAGTCTTTACAGAAATAATAAATGCCAACCAATTAACCAAACGATTGTTTCGAAGTTCTTTTAGCCTCAATGAATAGGACTTTTACTGGTGGCTTGTTTATGAGAAAATTTAGAAGAACTAACCACAAAAGTAGAAGAAGAAGGGAAAGAACAGTGTTAGAAATTAAATTTCATTAAGTAAACAAGTGTTTATAATTGTACCTTTGCACTTCCACAGCTTCGAAGAGGATTACAGCAACAAACAGATTAACTTAGAACTACTTCTAAGAAATTGAAATGCAGTGCGAGAAAGTAAATAACTGGAAAGAAAAATGTAAAGTTAATAGACTAGTTTTTGGATCTAATTTGGTCCCATGCAGCCATCAATAACTATTTATAGGAAAAAACTTTCAGTAATAATTACCCAATAACCACCTAAAACTATTTAATCTTCCATCTAAATTTCCACAATGCCACATATTCATCTATGTCTTCTACTAAGTCACTTTGTCCATCATATTCTTTACATGTGCTTTAACTTCTTTCACATTGTTTTCCATGTTTTACCATGCAAGATCACTAACTTTGTAATCTAATTGATTAAGTGAGTGCCACGTATCATATAATACTAATAGTAATAATAACATTATTACTATTTGTGGTGCCAACACTCTTATTTTGGAACAAATCTCACATTACGAACAAAAATATAACACTCTAATGTAACACTCCAATAACGTAACACTTCAATGTAGCACATTAAAAACTCCTTGGTGTACTTTTTCCAAACGTAACAACGTAACATTAAAAAATAGCTTGTTGGCGGACTTTTCCCAAACGTAACGCTCCAACAAAGAAAAACTCCCTAGTATATTTTTTCAAAATGTATCACTCCAATGTAACACACACACACAAAAAAAAAAAACTCCTTAATGTAATTTTTCAAAACATAACACGCCCATTAATGTAATCTTAAATGCAACACTCCAATGTACACACAAAAATATTAAAAACTCCTTACTGTATTTTTTTCAAACGTAACACTTAGTTTGAAATTATACATTGCCCAAACTTACTTAGGAATATTTGTACTTCTTTTGCAATGGTTTGAAGAATTCTATATTTTTTTTTTTTAGTGTTACATTGGAGTGTTACGTTTAGGAAAAGTACACTAAGAAATTTTTTTTTATGTTACATTAAAGTGTTACACTAAGAAGTTTTTTTACAGTGTTATATTGAAGTGTTACGTTTGGAAAAAGTACACTAATGCTGTGTTTGGTTGAGAGATTTGGGAAAGAATTTGGAAAGAAGAAGGGAAAATGTAGGTAAAATATGAATAAAATATGCCTACATTTTACCTAGTTTCACACACATTTTCCCTTTCTCTTTTCAAATTTCTCAAATCCCTCAATCAAATATAGCGTAAGGAGTTTTTGTGTGTTATATTAGAATGTTACACTAAGGAGTTTTTGTGTATAAAACATTAAAGTGTTACACTAAGAAATTTTTTTGGAGTATAATGTTAGACTATTACGTTTCAAAAAAATATAGTAAAAATTTTTTTTGTGTGTTACATTAAGGGATTTTTTATGTGTTACAGTAGAATGTTACACTAAGGAATCTTTTTAGAATGTTATGTTGGAGTGCTATATTTGGGAAAAGTACAATAATGAGTTTCTTTGTGTGTTACACTAGGGTGATACGCTAAGATTTTTTTTTGAGTGTTACATTTGGCTAAAGCTTACTAAGTAGGTTCTGTATTTCTTTTGAAATATTTGAAAAATCCTACATCCTTTTAGAATATTTGAAAAATCTCATATTTTAAGTTATTTTTGCACTCATTTTGAAATATTTTCATATAAAAATTCATCCCAAATTTGATTATCATATACCTTATCTTTCTAGCACAAAAGAAAAAAAAGAGAAGGAAGCATAATAGAAATAAATATATAATCGTAAATTTAATTTTTAAATAATATACTATATTTACCTTTCCAAAATTAATGTGACTAATTAGTTTATAAAAAAATCCTTAAGGTTAAATGGATCACCATTCCTCATGATGGGATTTATAGGTAAATTTTCATTTTATTTATTTATATGGTAATTTCTAGGGCTGAGCAAAAAATTCATAAAATTCGTAATTCAATCCGGTCCAGTCCAATTTGGTAGGTTTTGATTGATTTTTTGAATTCATGGTTCGGTTCCGGATTAAAAAATTAAAAGTCCATAGTTCACAGATCGGTTCCAGATTGAACCCCATAGTTCCAGATTGGAACCGATCCGGACTGTATAAAAATAACATATATTTATATTATACACTCTCTCGCATAGTATTTTCTCTTATTTCATATAAAACCTAATTCTGCATAGTATATTCTTTTATTACTTTTGTTTGTTGGTTTTTAGATTTAATTTATAATGGTCTAATACTTATGGTGGAATCCGTTTTGTTATGATTGTTTAAATTCTAAAATAGTATATTACTATTGTGGAAAGACTGTTGCTATTGTGAAACTAATATGATGCTATATTTATATTTTTATGAAATTAAAATATTGTATATATATTTTTTGTTATTTAATTATATGAATCTGTGATCCTAAACCGATTTAATCCGTGTTTAAATAGATTAGTTTCACAATTTAAACGAATTGAATTAATTTTAATTTTTCAAAAACAATAAATGACAAACTAATTATAATTTTATCCCAATTCAAATCAATCCAAACCATACTCAACCTCACTAATTTCCTTCTAAAATATCGAGACAAAAGTGCCAATATGGTCACAATGGAAAGTGTTGTGCACGTGATCCAACAAACCCGTGTGGCCAACGCTTTTTCCCTATCCTTTTTAAAAATTCCAGAAATATTTAAAAAAAAAATTTACAAATACACTAAGACTTATTTAAAATACAATTTACCTCTTATAATTTTAATAATTATATTTCGTGCTTTTAAATTTTAAATTTCTTAACAAATGGCTCCATTTTATTAATATTCATTATATCAATTAATAATTTAGATAATTTTATCGTTATATAAAAGGGTAATTAGAAATTTTATTTTTTTAGTTACTCTTAGGCCCTGTTTGATTGGGGGATATGAAGATTGAGATTGGATATTATATCCGGTGGGGTTTATATATCCCATGTTTGCAATTTTTTTTGAAGGGGATATAATATCCGGTGGGATTGTATATCCCCCAAAAGTGGTGAATTTAATATAATATAATATTATTTAATTTAATTTAATATAATATAATATTATGAGGGCAATCTTGGAAATTACTTGTTATATCCCACAATATATTTTGTAAAACGAACATGCATAACATATATTCAATCTTATATATCAAGTCAACAAACATGACTTGGGGGATATACTATCCAATACCTATATCCTATTCATTATATATCCTGACTAAATCCCACGTCATATTATATCCTCCATTTTATATCCAGTGAAACAAACGGGGCCTTAGGCTTGTTTGGCTAAAATAGACAATAAGGCCCCGTTTGGAGACTTACTTTTTTAGTTAATTAGCCAAAAAGTTACTAAATTAGCCAAAAAGTCAACAACTCATACCAAAAAGTCAAAGATTATCTTTTTTTCTACTTTTTGCACATCTTTTCGTAATTAGCCAAAAAATCATCCCAAACATACAAGTTTTTTTTACCTACCTTTTTAGCCAAATAGCCAAAAAGTTACTAAATTAGCATGTTCCCAAACGAGGCCTTAAGATAAAAAGGTGTTTTGAAAAGATGGTTAAAAATTGACTTTTTAGTTTTTTTTTTTGAAAAAAAATGTGTAAAAAATTAAAAGAGGTGATATGACCCAAAATAGATTAAAAGCTAGAACTTTTAACCATCTTGCCAAATTGGGCCAAAATAGATTAAAATAATCAATAAAATAAAATGTTATGTCAAATTTATAATAATTTCACTTTTTTTCTTACAATCATCAAATTAATTACAAAAAAAATATCCTAAACATAATTTTTTAATCAAATTAAAATAGTCAAAAATTCAAATAACTAAACGCCCCTAAAATAGTCTATTTCCAAACAGGTTTGTTAAATAAGGGTTGGTTTGGAATGTCCTAAAAAAGTGCACTTTTTGACTTATTGGTGGGTTTGGGTTGGGTTTGGGTTGGGTTTGATGTGATGTGTTAGAGAGGTGATGTGATTTAAATAAGATGATGTGACTTAAATAAGATAGTGACTTTTTGACTTTTTGACTTATTTAGTACATGCCAAACTAGCCCTAAATTTTTGAATAAGAAATATTTGTAATTTTCTAAATTATAGTAATAATTTATAGTTTAAATAAAATTGAAGGGTGTATTTACAATTTACGCAAAATAAAATAAACTACTATTAACTGAACTCTCTTCACTTCTCTCTTCTCCTATCAGGTCAATCCGATCGTGAAAGTGTTCTTGTTCTTCATCTGAGAGACAGAGACCAGTAATTGTTGATCCAAAATGCATTCGAATCACTTGCTTCTCGAAGAACCTGTACGGATGGCTTCAATCCTCGAGCCTTCCAAGCCTGTATGTTACGCAAATCCCACTGATCTCACTTCTATTCTCCTTACTACTCTAATCTACATGTTTCTTTGTGTTTATACTCCCTTTTTATGATCAATTTGAATTTGAATTTTTCAGATATTTTCATGTAGTTTTGCTACTTTTATTTTTTTTAAATTATTAAATTTGCTAATTTAAAATGAACTAGGTCCTAAAAATCTCCAAGAGTCCGTGTTTGTTTGCGTGTTTTCTCTAAATTCGTACATGTACGTACACACACAAACACATAATTTATTTATTTATTTTTTATTATGATCGTCGGCACAAACTTTGTTGATCCAGAGGTGTGTTTGATCCTTTACTGACGTAATGTATTGGATGAATTTTTTCTGTAGAGTTTTTTTCCAGCACTGTCAAAGATCGTTGGGACGCTCGGTCCGAAATCACGATCCGTGGAGATTATTTCTAGCTGCTTGAATGCTGGAATGTCTGGTACTGTTCATTTGTTATGTTTCAATTTCGATTTTTATTTTTGTTTTTGTGAAAGTTTTTACATATAAATTCTCCTATGATTTGAAAATATACTAAATATGATGAAGGAGAAAAAATTATCTTCTAGAAGGGGGTGAATAGGTCAATTAAGCAAATGAAATGACAACCAATTTGAAAAAAATAGCAAGTGATTAATTGAATTCTAGACAATTAATCCATCAATTCCGTTAATGTCATCTAATATAAAACAATCAACTTGAGTTTTAAGAATTAACGGGGAAACTCTATGGGAAACTCTCCCACTTGATGAAAATCACGATTACAGCAGCCAAAAAATAATCTACTATTGAATCAAATGGTTATAAGGCATAATTGAAGGAATTACAACTTCTTACCTAAGTTTACGTACAGTTGAGTCCACCATGAGCTTTACCAAACTTGATCTCTGCTCCAAAGTGACCTTGACACGTCAAGCTCCGTAGATCCAATAACAATCTCACTAAACCAACTAGAACATCCTACCAACCCAAACCCAAGTGCCAAAATTACAGATTAGTGATTTTGTTCATCGGAAATAGCCAACCTGGCAAATGCTTTCCAATATTAGGCATCTCACTGTAAGGGGAAAAAAGATTATCTCCCTACTGCTTGAATTCCTTTTCTTTTCCTGGGTTAACCAATCACATCATAGGTTTGAATTTTATTTTCTCATTTCTGTCAGTTTTCATGTTAGCCAAAAATCGAGTAAGGTTAATCTCCCAGGTTGAATTTGAGAAGTTTTTTTTTTTTGGGTCTGATTTCACCCTTTTTCTCTTAATCTTCTAGTGGCACGGTTTGATTTTTCGTGGGGTGAAACTGAATATCATCAGGAGACTCTGGAAAATCTGAAGGCTGCTATCAAGAGTACAAAGAAGCTCTGTGCAGTAAGCTTGTTTTTCTTATATTCATACCTCATGGTCTTGATTATTAACTCATGTTTTTCTGGACACTAATCCTTCCACTTAAATTGTTATGTTGTTATTTATTTATTTTACCTTGCTTGTGACATAAGTATAGATGTTCTGCTAATTTTGGTTACTGTTTTATTTTATTTTATTTTTCAGATATACTTGCAGATTCTCTCATATCATCTCATGATCTTCTTATTTTCTAGGTTATGCTAGACACCGTGGGTCCTGAGTTGCAAGTTGTCAATAAAACTGAGCATCCTGTTTCTCTTAAAGAAGATTCCTTGGTTGTTCTAACTCCTGATCAAAACAAAGATGCCACTTCAAATCTGTTGCCAATAAATTTTGGGGGATTATCGAATGTAAGAAATTTCACTAAGAGTCTCTAGTATAGTTTTATCAAGTGTTTGAATTTTAGATGCTTGAGATGTGTCGGAATATTTTGAATCTAAATTACATGTGTGCCTTGCCTACACATGAGAAGTTACTTGAAAGTCAAAAGAAACATCATATTTACGCTTTGAATTGGGTATTACTGGCACATATACTTTATACTTTTCTAATGGAGTTTTGACAGGTGTTCAAGATGACACCTGTCAATATCTCAACCAGCTCTGACATTACATCTGTGCTGTTGGGATGTTAATGGGATTTGTGTTTATGATGCTTTCGTTTGTCAATGTTGATTTGGGCTGCTGTGATAGTCACACTGTGCTGTTGCCTGTCTTGACAATTATGAAGTTGAAATACTTTCTTTTGCTTATGATTGGGTTTGAAAGGTATTATTGACTGGTTTGTCTTAGACCAAACATATGACCAAATCTGGTTTGACACATATTGTTCACCTGTGCATGAGCTGCCTATATGAGATTTATTATTAGCATAACCCAGAAAGAATAGATAAAGATGCTATCTTATTTGGTTCAAAACAATCTCATCTGTTAATTGTTAATTGTATTTTTTGTTTTTCACTTTAGTTTTCTTCTTATGCTATCATTGTTGATTGTCAAGCTATTTTGGGTTACTTTTAATTTAAACTGTTAGCATGGAGAAATAAGTTCATTTTATTTACTATTGATCTGTAATGCAGCCATATTATGGTACTTGAGTTGTTGGGAATTCCTTTATTGCCCTATTAGACGAAAGGACAAGCTTTTCCTTGTTATGTCTATAACAACCTATGAAGCATGGATATTTCTAGGAGGGAGTCGTACTCGTATCTGTATCTGTATCTGTATCTGTATCTGTATCGGGTACCAATACTCCTCAAATACTCATGGATATGTATTCGATACTTCTTTAATGTATCTGTAATTTTCTTTTAATTTTGAGAAGTATCAAATATTTTTTGGATACTCTGGGTCATGAATCTGAACTATTATAAAATTGAGAATGTAATAATTCTTGCATAGCATTAGAGTACAATTGTTAGGATTAATGCAAAAATAGCTTTCCAATACTTTACTTAATTCTTAGAGAAGACAATACTAAAATCATATTTCAACAATTAAAAAGTAAAATTGTGTACAATACTTTAGCATATAACCTTTTAAGTGTGAAAGGGAAAAATACACATGTAATATAATCAATTTAAAATTGATACTGAAATGAAATTTTTATAGGATCTACTGAAAATTATGAAGTAAACTGGCTATTGGCTCTTAAATTACCTAATTCTTAAAGACTGGTTTCTCATCATTTTTTGAGCTTATGCATAATATTATATATATATATTTATTTACAATTGCATCCTAGCCATACCCTTTTCTATTTTTTTAGATTTTGTCATATCTTTGTATCCATGTCTGTATTCGTATCCGTATCCATGTCATATTGTATGCATATCTTGTATCCGTATCCTTCATAGGTTACTCCCCTGGGTTCTGTTTTTGGTTACTGCATTTATTCTTAGACTTTGTAATGAAAGTATGTTGCAGGTTAGTTAGTGCTCATATATTCATTTTATTATGCTGTTATTTCTATGTTCACTAATTTGTCAATGTAATCATAATCTGAATCCAAATTTTATTTTTGCAGGCAGTGAAGACTGGAGACACTATTTTTATTGGCCAGTACTTGTTCACAGGAAGTGAAACAACTTCTGTCTGGCTAGAGGTATGGCAACATAGGTAGATAGTATTGGTTATCCACTTGATTCAAATATACCTTATCTTTGTTGACTGGACAAAATTTTTGTTTTTATTTAGCTAGGTATGTCAATTCACCTGCTCTATTATTCTTGCCATTTTTTGGGGAATATAACAAATTAGTCAGTGCTCTTGCCCTCCCCATTACAAGTCATCTTTTTATGGAAGATCAGAATGAAGTTATGTTAGTAAGCCAGTTGGGTAATGCTATCATGGCTCAGTGAGTAAGGCATCTTTAGAGATGTGTTGTGTTATTTTTGCCAATAACAGAGATAGTTGTGGGTTGAATTCTGTTTACTTGTTAGTGATCCAATACGAACAAAGAAATGACTATGGCATTTAATAAAACTTCATAGTTTCAATCTCGATAAAGCATTTTAAATTTGATTTTTAGACTTCCTTATATTTCAAGAAGTTCCACTTCTGTGATGCAGGTAACTGAAGTGAATGGAGAAGATGTGGTCTGTCTGATAAAGAACTCTGCTACCTTGTCTGGGCCATTATATACATTACATGTCTCTCAAATTCGCATTGATCTTCCTACCCTTACCGACAAAGATAAGGAGGTAAATTGTTCTATTTGCACCAGATACTTCCTGTTAACAAAATCAGGCCCATTGCTTTCATGTTAAGCTATGCCACTGCAGCAAAATCTGGTGGGTAAAGGGTTGGCATCTCTTATATAGCAGATTTTGGGATATTAACCGAAAGGAAGCATCACTGTCAAGCAGTATTTTGTAGATATCTAACTGCTTGATCTGGTTGCTTGGTTGTATATCTTCTGGCAGTGACTTATTTATTTCATTCTCATATTCTGAAGATCGCTGTTGATGCTTTTGTCTTATGGATCTGTGGTATTAAATGTTTTTCTCATTAAATAATTTTATGGCCTCCTGAGGACATCTTAGAACTCTTTTAATAGTGAATAATCATGGTTCATTGTAGATATTGCAGTATATTTACTCTGTAAACTTCAAATGGTGCCATATAAAATTGCTGGAATTTTCACTGCTAGAAAATTTTCTGCTTACTTTTGTTTCTTAACAAGTGGTTGCATTATATTTTACTGACCAATTTCAGGTTATTAGCACTTGGGGTGTGCGGAACAATATAGACTTTCTTTCACTGTCATATACACGACATGCGGAAGATGTTCGACATGTAAGGACTATTCCTCTTACCAGTCTTGTTCTATTATATTACCATCCTTCTTCATAGTTATGTTGCATGGACTCTCCTAAATGTATGTACTTATGTCAGACACTCGACACTTGGGTTAGGAAGAGTATGGGATGTGTTTGACATGTGTAGCTGGACATTCACCGAGAAAGCATATTTCATAATTCGAGTTGACATAAAATTATGTGAAAACTCCCATATTATGCAAGAAATGGTGTATGCCACCTTGTGAATGTCATTTTACCTTAGAAAATATTAAACAAAAAAAGTATATTAAAAAATATGAATATTTTGTCCTGCCTGTGTCGGCAGCACTTGATCGGACAGATCAATTTCTTCTGACTGTTCATATCCAACTTGGCTGGGAAAATCCATTTGCCCCACTGATTATGACAACAGAGGACGAGGTAGAAAATGATAATTTATTCGTCTAGAAATCTACTCCACTTGAAGAACCCTGATTTCACGCAACAGCTGTGGGAATTAGATGAATCGGACACTTAGATACATATCCATACCCAGCATCCGTATGAGCTGTACGCAAGTCCATGTGACATAGCTTTATAGTATAGACTGCCTATTATATATAGTGTTTACACAGTAAGTGTTAACTTATCTGGTTTTCTTGTCCTACAGGCTCGGGAATACCTTTCGAAATTGGGTGACCTCAGTCAAACTCAAATTTTTGCTAAAATTGAAAATATAGAGGTGATATTCACAGTGACTAGGATTCCTCAAAAGTTTTTTCAATTCAGCATTCTACTTCTGCAAATGAGAATTTAATTTTCTTACAGGGATTAATCCATTTTGATGAGATTCTACAAGAGGCAGATGGCATTATCCTCTCTCGTGGAAATCTGGGGATTGATCTCCCACCAGAGAAGGTCAGCTTTGAAATTTGGACATAGTAAATTCCTAATATCCTTTTGGCTGCCAAAACAAAATAAAGTTGCACGGCTGTTTTGATGGTGATGGAACAAGCCATTAATTGCATATCTGTATTTTCTCTCTTTTTGAATGTGCACATCTGTTAGTGAACATTCTCTAAGATTCTAACTTGATTTTTGTGGTTAAATTCCTTATCAAATTCAGGTATTTTTATTTCAAAGAGCAGCTGTTTACAAGTGCAATATGGCTGGAAAGCCTGCTGTGGTTACTCGTGTTGTGGACAGTATGACGGACAATCTAAGACCCACTCGTGCTGAGGCAACTGATGTTGCAAATGCTGTATTGGATGGTAACTTTTAGCTTTCTAATATATGATACTCCCTCCGTCCCATTTTGTTGGTCCACTATTCCATTTTGGGATGTCCCCAAATGATAGTCCCATTTGAAAAGTCAAAGTAAAAAATATTTGATTTTCCAAAACTACCCCTTTTGAGTAATTATAAATATATTAAAAATTTGGAAAGATAGGGGCATTAGTGGAAAAATATTTTGAAATTTAAATTTAAGTGTAATGATTGCATGCCCCCTTAAAAATTTGGAATCCCCAAAAGGGACCAACAAATTGGTACAGAGGGAGTATGTTGGATGGTATCTTTCTTGGAAGTGCATTACCATTTGTGGCTATTAATGGCATTACTTCCACTTTCCGTTTTTCTTAGTAAGTCACAATCAATTTTTAGTTCATGGAGGCATGAATTTTGGGATCTTATGTTTTCTTTCGTTGTTTATTTGGTTCAGGTACTGATGCAATTCTTCTAGGAGCAGAGACCCTGCGTGGACTGTACCCTGTTGAGACTATTTCCATTGTTGGTAAAATTTGTGCCGAGGTAGGATTTTCCTTGCTTTCTATTGTTAACTTCTTTTTGCCTCTTAATGGCGCAAATAAATATCCATATCTGAAGGAAAACTATCCTCGCTCTGTCTCTCTCAGGAATTTCTCAGCTGCTACCTAATATTCTAATCCAAGGTCCTTGCAGCGCCAGTTTCCTTCTTAGCACTGCCCAAGCCCCTGGGACATTTTTCTTCCCTAATGCGATACCTAAAATGATTATAGTTTCATCTTCTGTTAGGCCTGTCTTCTCTATGAATATGTTCAAAGCATTTTCTGTCTATTTCTCCATATGATGTTGACGCAGTCTTTTGTCAGTGCCCATGTTTTCCATGTTGGTGTTTGGAAATCTTTTCATCTATCTTTAGAAACTTCTTAAGTCCAGAAAATCATTGTAATAAATGGCTGCCACACTAGTGTCTGTCCCTACCCTGCATGCTTAATAAGGATTCTATTTCTGGATTTCCCTTTCTATGTTGATGTAGAACCTAACTAATTCTAGTATAGATGCTAATCTGTTGGAAGTAAACTAGACATTCTTTTTAGTAAGTGAGACGAGTACATAGTTATTGGTTGAAATCTCAAAGTGTTATTTGTATAATACTTCTGTTGGTAAATTTAAGAGAGAACAAATGTTGGGTTTGGCTATGTGAAATCTTGTTTCCCAGTTCCCTTGTTGAAATTCATGTTCATGCAGATTCAGCTAAGGTTTGTGCTAGCTATATTCATTTCATAATGTGTTGATGTTAGATGCTCATCTCTGATAGTGTCACTGCTAGTATCTATGGTAAAAAGAAATTGAACTTGTTATTTCTATGGATGTAAATTGTCGCTAATGATCCCAATGTTCAGGATATTGAAATATTTTATTAACAGAACAAAAGTCATGCTTGACTCCTGAATCAATTATTATCTATTTTGATGTTATCTCATGGGTTGTCGTTTTTAAATTAAAATGTATATGCAGGCAGAGAAGGTTTACAATCAAGATCTGTATTTTAAGAAGACTGTCAAATATGTTGGAGAACCAATGAGTCACTTGGAGTCTATTGCTTCATCTGCGGTATTTGCTTTGTAGATCTGCCTTTTGTCTTTTCACTTAAATTTACCATATGAAGATGGCCCCTCAGTGGACTGCAATTTGACCAAGGGAAGGTGATTTGGAAAAGTGTGTTCCTCATTTTGGAATTACACTTACTGTTTTCTTTAATCTGCAGGTAAGAGCAGCAATTAAGGTGAAGGCATCTGTTATCATTTGTTTCACTTCTACAGGAAGAGCTGCGAGGTTCCTCTTTCTTTCTTTTTTTACTCATTGTGGTATTTAAATGCAATTATTAATGGGCTGGATATTGTGAGTAATTTTCTTTAGATTATTGCTTCATCTCTTTAGAAAACAGTAGCCTTAATATGCTGGATTTGATGTTCCACATTAATGCGTAACCTAAATGCAAATTTTCATATTCGTTCCTTTGCATGTATGAGTACTACATTGATTAATAGCACCAGTATTGCAGATTGATTGCGAAGTATAGGCCAACAATGCCTGTCATATCTGTTGTCATACCTCGTCTCAAGACAAATCAACTCCGCTGGACATTTACTGGTGCTTTTGAGGTATACAATGTGCTTGGGTTTACGTGAAGTTTTCACTGCTGCAAGTTTGGTTTTCCTGATTTTTTTATGTTTTTAACAAAGAGTCTTGCTAACCACTGCCTGCTAGGCGTTGGTTAAGGGTCATAATGTCAAAAAAATTAGACCTCCAATACATGTTTCACATAATTCCATACACTTACATATATATATATATTTTTATACACTTTTCACAGATATCAATACACTTTTTTGCTCATATACCAACATCAACCACCACCCAATGGCGGTGGTTAGCATTTTCCTCTAACAAATAACTCTGTAGTAAGCAATTGTGGGTACCTACATCTGACTTTGGGCGGTGGTTAGCATTTTCCTCTAACAAATAATTTTGTAGTAAGCAATCGCGGGTACATACATCTGACACTCCACGTTGCGAGTTGAGCCACTCCATGATATCTCCCTGAGCCATGCACATCAACACCTCCAATGGTTTTGGACGAAGAACATGCTCCCCTTTGAGGTCCACTCAAGCTGGCTGAGGATAGTGCACACGGTGCTCTAGCCCTTAAGCCCAGGCAAAAGGACCAAGACATTTGTTGGTGACCCAAGGCACTGCTCATCTCAACTAAGCATATCTCCACCCAAGTGCGCCACTTTCTTCATTGTGGATATGTTTGACACCCTTAACTTGGTCAGACAACTCCTGTCTGGGCGTGTACTCTGCTCCAAGTACCTATCACCAAGTACTAGGTGCGCTCACTGTCCAACCGAGTACACCCTCCCTCATGACTCATGCCCCATCTTGACTTGGCAAGGTCGAGCATCTCTCCAAACAAGCACACACCTCAAGTGCATACTCCAACAAAGGGAACCCTGATACAGACATGCCAAACTAGATCAGGAGTTGGCACCAACCCCTACTCAGCAGAAAATTATCCAATCTTCCAGGAACACCGGACATTTGTTGGTGCACCCAAGGCACTGCTCATCTCAGCTAAGCATATCTCCACCCAAGTGCGCCACTTTCTTCATTGTGGATATGTTTGACACCCTTAACTTGGTCAAACAACTCCTGTCTGAGCATGTACTCTGCTCCAAGTACCTATCATCAAGTACTAGGTGCGCTCACTGTCCAACCGAGTACACCCTCCCACATGGCTCATGCCCCATCTTGACTTGGCATGGTCGAGCATCTCTCCAAACAAGCACACACCTCCAGTGCATACTTCAACAAAGGGAACCCTGATACAGACATGCCAAACTAGATCAGGAGTTGGCACCAACCTCTACTCAGCAGAAAATTATCCAATCTTCCAGGAACACCAGGTGGCTATGCACCCAATCAGTTCCTATTTTTTAAGCTATGTACGGACATAGCCCCTTGTTATTGGGTGGGCACACCCTTGTCATGGAATTCCCAGAACACTAGCTTAGGGTCACTAGAGTACTTGTGTCTTAGAGACTAGAAATGAGGGTTTGTTGCGGTGCCTCGTCCTCTCCTCGTCAAAGGGATCTACACCTTGACTGGTCTTAGAGAAAGGCCTTGACCCGCTGCAGCTTCTCCAATACAATCTCCCATGTTTAACATACCTACCACTGCAGCCCCACGATATAACCCCGAGGTTTAACACCGTTTCTGTGCTCACCTCATCCACCTCCAGTGCTATTGTGCTGATTCAGTGACATCATTTATCCTAATGACTATACTGCTCATGAAGCTTCCAAAACTGTGGATGAAGTTAACACAGTACTGTGGAGGTTGGAATCTGTTTACATGTATGAATTTAATTTAATTTTTTTTATAGATTTCCTTCTTGATGCTATATCTGATGATGTTCCAAGCTATGAAATGAGTAAGCGGGAAGAGAGTTGCCTTCTTTAGAGTAGGAATTCAGTCTTGTGGATTATCATTCTGCTATCATATTTAGTTGTGCCTCTTATGATCCCTTTGAGGACACCATCTTTGGGATGCCCTGGCACTCTCATCGGTTAAGTACACATGGGAAGAAATTATTGTGCTTTTGTCACAGTTTCATCATTATATTAGGTAATGCTTTAAGGGATCACACATTGAATGCTTCAGGATAATCTAAATGTCCAGAACATTTCTCTGAATTTCTACGCTGCTTGGAATTATTGCTGAAAAAATAAGACACAGAAAATCTGACCCATTGTCCAATGCTTTCTTCTGTAACTCCACTTTTACTAAATTTTACACAAATGCAGGTGCAATGGATTCTTATTTTCTTTTCCTGATATGTGAAGATATGAAAAATTGCATTTCTTTTGGTTCAAACAAAAATAAGCATAGAACACATACACCGTAACCCCATGACCGAGGCTGGGAGTACCTACCTGACTTGGAGAAATTCAACCATTTTCTGATGTGTTTGGGCAGGTGTCTAGAATGAGTCCTCAAGTCTATGGAGAACTCTCTCTCTCTCTCTCTCTCTCACACACACACACACACACACATACACACACACAAACAATCTATCTGTCACTTGTAGTTGTCAAAAAGCTTGTGTTTCACATGTCTTGTTCTATTGATCAATTCATTTAATCAACAGAGATTTTCCTTTATGCATTTTGTCGTCAAATTGAATTTGTAACTCATTATTGCAATCTTTTCCTTTACGTGATGTGACGGGCAGGCAAGGCAATCACTTTTAGTCAGAGGTCTTTTTCCCCTGCTGGCAGATCCTCGGCATCCAGTAAGTTCTATTTGAAGTTAATAGGCACCATATTTGTGTAGAATAATAGGCATGTGAAATTAGCCTTTTGGCATTATTTGCAATTTTGTACTAAGTTACTGCCCTTTGATATAGACCTACATTCTCACCCTTGACAATCTAATTTTAGCATTTTGATGGGCCTGGTTACAGAATTTCTTAATCAATCACTGAGATATCGTTTTGATTTCCGTTAACCATATAATACTAATAGAGAATTATTAGTCAAATTGTGAGCACTAACATAGATGAGATGACCTGTCTAATATGGAGAATGGTAGGGGTCCCAAATTTTCTCCCAAAGATTTTACCAAACGTCTCACATGGGTATAGACCCCACACTTATGTGGGACCCACACCCATGTGAGACATTTAGTAAAACTTTTGATAGAAAATCTGGTATCCCTAGCATTACTTGTCTAATGTTTGAGTTAGAGGTTAGATTTTGTTGAATGGTCATTTTTAACCTTTTGATGTCTGGGACAAAAGCATCAATGTCATCCATGGTCATGAGATTGAAGTAAATTAGAGACTAGAACATATCAAGGAAGGTTCAAAACAGTCCAAAATGCAAGGGTTTGTGTATAATAATTAGAAACATGAGGTTAATGTGACTTATACAACTAGAATGGAAATTTCTTATTCTCTTCTCCGACTTAACCAGAAAAGAAAGGTTTGCGCTTCATATTCTTGTGAGAATTTTGTGCCTCATGGTTTAAAAATAGAACTGTTTTAGCCTCTTGACCTAGAACTACTTGTCAAGTCCATCTAGTGCCTATGCAAAGTAAAGCTTAAAAAGTTATTTGCAGAAGAATACCATTTTGGAGGAAGAAAATCTTGTTTTTTATCAAGTCGGCAATATTCTTAGTCCTATTCAGCTTAGACAGATTAAACTGGAATGGATATTACGTTGATTTAACCTTAAGATTTCTGATGTGGAGGATCCACATATCGTGATAACCATCCCAAAGTAGAAATTGCTTTCTTTTTTGGAGTATCAATATATGGAACAGGTTAAATATGGAACAGCTTAATTTCTTACTCGTCCTATATGGAACGGATAAATATTGTTGATTTAACCTTTTCTGTTTTGGGTTATGGATTTGTGGAGGGGAAGAAGCTTAAAAAGTTATTTGCAGAAGAATACCATTTTGGAGGAAGAAAATCTTGTTTTTTATCAAGTCGGCAATATTCTTAGTCCTATTCAGCTTAGACAGATTAAACTGGAATGGATATTACGTTGATTTAACCTTAAGATTTCTGATGTGGAGGATCCACATATCGTGATAACCATCCCAAAGTAGAAATTGCTTTCTTTTTTTGGAGTATCAATATATGGAACAGGTTAAACATGGAACAGCTTAATTTCTTACTAGTCCTATATGGAACAGATAAATATTGTTGATTTAACCTTTTCTGTTTTGGGTAATGGATTTGTGGAGGGAAAGAAAACAAAAGGAAAAAGATGAGACGAAATTAAGTGAAACAGGCTAATTTTACTTCTTTCACTTTCATTTCTTCCTCTTCATCCGAACATAGCATGAGTTTTTATTTTTTATTTTTTAACCCACTCGAACTTACAGAATATACTCTGATCTTGCAGGCTGAGTCTACAAGCGCAACAAACGAGTCGGTTTTAAAGGTTGCGTTGGATCATGGCAAGGCTTCTGGTGTTATAAAGTCACATGACCGGGTTGTGATATGCCAGAAAGTTGGTGATTCATCTGTTGTGAAGATTATTGAGCTTGAAGATTAGACCTTTGTATTGTACTAAACCCTCATCTTGAATATACTTTCCATGTTTGAAAACTCAGGCTAAACAATTTCTGAGTTCAAATATAGCACATGTATTAAGAGGGCACCAGTAGATGGTTCCATCTTTCCTAATTGAAATATTAAGCATGATATGATATTGTCTTTTCAACTACTCAATATGTTTGTACAATGACTTCTATCAATAAATTTGGTTTGCTACAGTTCATGGATCGGATTGGTCTGGTTTTAAAGTAAATTAGAAACCGAACTGGTTTCTACAATTCCAAAAAAATTAGGATCGTAATCAAACTATTCAATCTATGAAATTGAATCATAGCAATTGATTTGGTTCGGTTCTAAAAATTTTATGTAACAATAAACATGATATATGTTTTATGTTTGTAAACAAATTAAAAATAATTAGTTTGATTGTCAATTTCACCATCAAAACTAGTGTTCAAGTCTTACAATGAATTTTTTTTTTATTATTTTTATATATAAAAATAATAATAAACAAATATAATTTGTTTCCATTTAGAACTGTAACTAGTGCCCGAAAACCTAGACAAATAATTTTGATTTTTACCATTTTTAAAATCAGAATTAAAAATGTAACTAATAAAAATCTGACCAAATCAATAGTTCAGATCAGACTGAATCTGTTAAACGGTGTTTTTTTTAAAAAAAAAAAAAATCTTGCAATGTGTCTGTTAGAGAGAGCAATTGAAATGTGGGTTTGGTTTATGTGACGAGCTTGCTACCCAATTGCAATTTCATGAAAAATTACCTGAATGTGACTAGTTTTTCTCTGATTTTTTTTTTTGATATTAATTAAATGATAAATTTAAAAAACTAAATTAAAATTTGATATTCAACAATTGAATAACATAGTTGAAAAAAAAAAAATCGAATAGCCAAAATTATTGTTCCAAATATTTGAAACATGCAGAAATTTCAATCCAATTGCAAACTACGGTTTGGTGTTCACGAGGTTTCCATCAAATATCTCAGGCCTGAAAACTTCATGAATAGAACAATTCTCAAAAGCATAAATATGGCAAACTAAGCAATCCAATGCTTATATTGTTTAATCTAATTAAACATGCGATATTAATAACAATTTAGGACAAATCATACTAACCTGTCGTGAATAATGAAGAAAATACAGTGAATCGCACGGTACAAGTAGTTGATTTGAAGCCAAATCCACACCATCTTCATTTCATGATTAAAATGGAGATTTTCATTTCATTATTATCCACTGAACAGGGCATTTCAGAAGAAGATATTAAAACATCAGAGAAAACAGTACTCAAATATCAGCAAACCCTAAATTCAATTGTTTCATTTAAAACTTGGCCCGCCCTTGAAACAGGTCGGACCCAATGAATTTCAGAAAATAAACAATCAACAGGGCGCAAAAAACACAACGCGCTTTTGCCATATATGCGCTGGAGACAAAAATGCTTAAGCTTGGAGAAATCCCAATCAGGTCTGAAGAAGATACCCCATTCATTATTGTTGTTCTCTACAAATTTCATGGCTAATCTCATTTTATTACAAAAGAAGTCTTCGCATATCGCTGAAGTTCAAACGTAAATCCGCGATGAAAGAACCTGCAGAACAAAGTCGCATAAACGTCAAGAGCAATAATCCGATAAATACTTTTACGTCTGAATTTGGATAATAATGGACCTTACACAACATTCCAATGGCAAGAAGTCAAGTCATGGATGGCCAAAAGACAAGGACAAGAAAGGTTTTATGAATATCCAAGTATACCCAAAAGACGTTTACTGTTAGACTAGCTCTCAATTAGAATCTTGGTATTGGTTCAACAAGAGCATTCCTCGCTTGAGAGATCAGTAATCATCACATCATATACCCGGAAGAAATCTAACTTCTCACTGAAAGCAGGGTCATTACAGGGACCAAGTGCTTTACTTTTTCAGCTGTGCCCCCAATGTGTGATTTTTGTGGGCTTTGACCTATATACGCCTCTTTATTTATTGTGAAATTAAACAATTAGTGTACTGACAAACTTATTTCCCAAACTACGTTATAGTGTGATTGCTAATCACCTTTTTACTTAATGCAGAACATTATCTAAACTACATTTTCCTCCGAGTGTTTTACACATTGAAGTAAAAATGTGATTAGTTATAATGCTTTTTAAGAAACACACGATTTACAAACATGCTTTCAATGTAGTTTGGGAAATAAGTTTATCCGTACACTAGTTGTTTAATTTTGAATGAAAAAAACAATCTAAACAGGTCAAAGACCCGATTTTGGTGACCTAATGAACCAAGAGGACATAATACATTAGACTTGAAACCTCCCTACTCATATACTTCGCAAGAAACTTATGGCACACTGATCATACAAAATCAGCCACCAACTTGTAGATCATGATGATTGATTCAAAATAACATGGGATACATGAAGGGTTTATATCTGACATGGGCTTACAACCTTCCCGGTTTGGAAATAAAATTGCAATCTTATTTACCTCCAACTTTGCCATCAAAAACACGATGATCAGCGGATAATGTCAAATTCATTTTTGTGACAACTGCAGGCTTCTCGATTCCTGGAACAAAGTAAATCCAAGATATAAAATTCAAATAACATCTTTTGCAGTGGCATCATTCAATAAGTAATAGATATGGGCATAGTACTACCATCAGTTCCAAAAACTGGTTCCACAACTTGGTTGCCCCTACCAACAGCAAGAATACATGCCTGAAAGAAACGATTGACGAAGTTAATACTTGAGATACTAATTTCACACCAATATGAATTGAAACTTATCTTAATTTTATCAAAGGAATATTTTAGGTAGTAGTGATAAAGTAATCTGTGCACAAGGTTGTAGGCTGTGTGCATGCGCACGTGCGTGTGATGAGAGAGAGAGAGAGTAACTGTGCACAAGGTTGTAGGCTGTGTGTGCATGCGCATGTGCATGTGATGAGTGTGTGTGTGAGAGAGAGAGAGAGAGTACCTGTGGGGGGTTTATTATTGCACAAAAATGGTCCACTGGAAACATTCCAAGGTTCGAAATGCTGCAAACAAGTTATACAAGATTCATGATGACTGATTTTTCTATGTAGTAGGTGACAAGTGAGATAATATGCAAGAGATTTTTTTCAATGTACTCACCTGAAAGTGCCACCTTGAAACTCGTTGGGAGTAAGCTTCCCTGCTCGTGCCCTTGAAGCTAGTTCCTTGATCTTAATTGCATGATCATCCAAGAATCAGAAATTATTAGAAAATGAAGCTTGGGATTTTGCTTGACTTCCAATATGTAAATCAAGAGATAAACGGATGAAAGATGGAAAGACAATATATAGACCTAAAAGGATATGCAAATGTCCAACTTCTACTTCCAAATTTGATCAAGTATTATTTGACTTGTCACGGTTTCCATGTTAATCGTGATCAAGAACATTACAATAATAGGGTCAGGCATTAATCAATTTGCAAGTAGAGATCAATATTGTTCCTCATGTCAATGGCTAAATGATCCGAACCATTGATCTTCATTTTCTCTATTTATACATTTCTTGTCTGGTTTTTCTTTTTCTTTTTTTCTTTTCTTTTTTCTTTTTCTGGGATATTTTGCTTAAGATTGTCATTCTTCAGCAAAATTCAGGCAACCTGAGCCTAACCCAAGCTCGCTAAGTTGAGCTTGGGCCGGAATGTGTTGGGCTTGAGGTCAGGGTTGGGTCAGCTCTCGTACACCTCAGGCTAGGCCTGGTCAAACCCCTAGCTCGACTTAACCTACCTGAGTGGAAGCCAACAAACAATATCAATATTTATTCTCTTCCACGTAATAAACATTTAGATTTAGGTTTTTTGCTTCAAAATATGTAGTAATGGTCGCAGGTGATTGTGTTCTTCAGTGAAACCTACATCCAAGAAAACAAATAAAGTACCTCCAAGGAGATCGATGATATAGTTTTCTGATCTGCATTTCTCACGATAGGAGTCATCAATCCCTGTTACTCGGATTAATGATAATGACATCAGATGCTTTTAAAAAAACAAAAACTTTGGAAGAAAAATAAGGGCAATACAAAAACACCTTCTCAGTGGCAACTGCAATTGATATGTCAACAGAATCCAATAGAACAACTTCACCTTTCTCAGTATCCCAGTAAGCTGCATTTACATTGAATTTTTGTCCACAAATTATCAGTGTTGAGTAATATAATTTGCACCAGAGATTATAGTTTATTCAAAAAAATCTTACCATTTGCTTCTGGAACATTTCTCAGAGCGATTGCAACAGCTTTAATGATAATATCATTAACAGAGACTTTAACATCATGCTTCTCTGTAAATTGAGCAAATATGATAGAATGAGTCCAAAAATCACAAGCGATAGGTGGAAGGTCAAGTTCCATACCTTTGAGCTCCTTTCTGAAAGATAGAAGCGGATCCAATATAACATCTGATAGACACCACAAAATATGTCAGATCATAAACTCATTTGTAGCAACAAAATAAGGGTGGTGTATAGGGTTTAAAACCTGAAGATAGATACAAATGAGGGGTATTTTGTTTTGATTCCAACAACCGCTTAGCTATCACCTGCAAAATAATAGATGACTTACAGCACCACACGACAATTGCAACAGACTAACAAGAACAACTGCAATTAGAAATGCCATTCAATTACCAGTTGTCTGCCTGAAGTTCATAAGAAACTTCATGCTAACTGCTGAATCCATACAATGTGACGTTGAACATTAATAATTAAAAAATCAGATGAGTAGGTAGAAATAGCATAGAAAATAAGTGTAAAGTAAAGCGAAATATTCTACCCCTAGCATCATCAAATGGATGCCTATAAGATAATACATCGATTTTATTTGGTAGCATTATTGAATATTTAATATTTCAGGATAATAATGTGAAAGAAAAGAGGACGGTTAAAATTAAGCACACTTATCAGCATTCTTGAGAAAGTATTGATCAGGACTTTTACCCAACGAAATAAAAGAGGGGGAATACCAAACGATAAGAATGAAAATGCATTGCCAAATTGTCAACAATCTTTGCGTGAAAGTGTGTCCTTGTTTCATGGTGTCAGGCTTTGGAAGGGAATTTGAATTGGGTGGTCTGAACTTCTGAGACAACCCGTTTTGTTGTGAAAAGCAGGGACATAATTCGCTTTTAGAGTCACCATGATGTGGGGAACAGAAGTTGGAACTTTCTTTCCCTTCTCTTGCTCGTCTTGCTCGTGTTGCTGTCAATTGAGATGCTACCATCGACGATTATTTTAAAAAAGAGGGTAACCAAGTTTTTTGGGATGTGACTTTTCACCGATTGTTGAATTATTGGGAGGTGGAGGAGCTGATGAGGCTTGTTGATTTTTTGTACACTACCTCCTTATTGGGGAGGAAGAGTATCTATTGAGGTGGGCAAGGGAAAAAGCTGGGAGATTTGAGGTGAGTCATAATGCTTTATTTGGTTCATTGGAATGGGTTGGAATGGAATGAAATGGATCATTCCTTGGGCTCTCACATGGAATGACCATTCCCTTGCAATGGTGAACGATGATTCCATTTATAATGCATTCTGTCATTATTTTTTTAGTCAACCAAATAGAACAAATATTTTGATGGATGATCATTCCATTCCGTTTGATTTCAGTGAACCAAACTATACCTAAGAGGTTTTGGGGCTTAAGCCTCCTTCAAAGGTCACATTTTTTTCTGAATGGATACTCTTGGAAAGATCCTTACTATTAACAATTTGATCAAGAGGGGTGATGCTGACGGGATCAAGGAGACATATCAATGTCAATTGGTGTTGTATGTGAAAACATGACAGGGAATTAGTCAATCATCTCCTGATTCATTGAATGGTGTCGAGGGAATTGTGGTCTATGATCTAAGACGCACATACACTTCTAAGAAGGTAGCATGTCAAATTAGACATCGTGTCGAACACCACACGATATGACACTTGCCAGACACTTCCCAACATCTATAGAACACGGGCCCAAACCTGTCCCACTATTTTAAAACAAATAATTTAGACTAAGACAAGCTTTCAAACACTTGAGAAACAGGTGTCTTTTGCTTAGACATATATGAAACATATTATAAGTTCGAATAAAATAATTTGGAATCCAATGATTAAAAAATAAAAAATGAAGATAAATTTATACCCATTCTCCTCCTTTGAACTCTCAAAATTATTATCTTTGAATTAAATATTCATGTATATGGCTTATAATATTTGTTTATCCTTATATTTGTCATATAATAAATATATAAAACTATATATTTTGCGTATCCCACACATGTCGTGTCCAAAATTTTTTGAAATTTTCTGTGTTGGGGTGTTCGTATCCATGCTTCTTAGTCTGTAATTTTAGATATGCCTGGATGTGGTGTGGGTGTTTCCTAGGAATGTGCGAGATTTGTTGCTTGCTTAGAGGGGACTAGAGCGGGAATGATGAGAAAGGCATGATTTTGGTTCCTTTGGCTTTGATGTGGATCATATGGGGGCAACATAATCAGAGGACATTTGATGGTTTTTTGATGATCCCACTTTCATATTGAAAAGCCGTGTTGTCTATTTTGTATTGTTGGTACTCTGGTACTATTGATAAGTCCTTGAACCAATTTTTCGATATTGTAGTCTCTTGAAAAGATTGGTGTATAGATGATACAGTTTGTTTTGCTCCTTTATTCTTGTCCTATTTTGGTGCCTTTTTTTATAGTGTATTCTTTATACTATTCAAAACCAAAAAAAAAAAAAATGTAGTTGGCCTAATAGCTTTCTTCAAAGGCGTTTTAACTTCAGTTTTGTAAGTGATCACAAATCAACTCAACTTGAACAAGTACATACACAAGCAGACAAAAGTACCTTATTCATGTAAAAAGAGATTATGTCTGCAACATTCAAACATATTCGATAATCAACAATATAAATATGAAATGCATTCCTGAACAATAAGAACCTTGAACTGTAGTTCATTATTTTAATGGAAACTACCTTGCGGATTTGACTATTGGGAAAGTTTTCATAAGAATCTGGCTGTTGTAAGTGGGATTTGGATTCAGGTGATGCTGAGTGTGAAGTTTGTGGATGAATTTGAGGTGTCTGAGATATCTTCTCCTTTGACGAAGTTTTTGGAGATGCTTTCCCTGACTTTATTGCAGCTAAAACATCACCTTTTAATAGAGTACCACGGGGACCTGATGCCATTATTAATGACGCATCCAATCCATGTTCTGTAATTAGCAGCTTTGCCGAAGGACTGATCCTATTAAAATTTGCTTTCTGTTCTCTTGCTTCACTTCTAGTATCATGGTGGGTTGGCTTTTCCTCTTTCACCTCCGACCCACCACTAACGGAAGTCTTAATAGTTTCAATATCATTTTGATCCTCAACCTTGAAAAACAAATAGAATTAGTATTCGGATATGCCTCTAGTGGCTACAAAATTGCCGATAAAAAAATAGCGGCTAGAAAATTAGAAAATAATATAGACAAAATGAAGTAAACTGTTCAGTAAAGTACAAGACAGCCCAACAAAAAACGTAAAGTTGATTCTAATAGCTTGAATTAGTAGGCAAAAAATGCAATTTGTACTTCACTATAAGAACTAGCAAGTTATAAAATGTTCAAGCATCATAAAAACTTACAGTTATTGCAATGTGTTGTCCCACAGAGACATCTTTTGAACCTTCAGGTACCAGTATCTTAGCAAGAAACCTGCAACCACCAGTCCACTGAAAAATGTAAGGAGATGTAAAGAAGCAAGCTCCAAAACCACGACATACATCACAGTTATATTTATTTCTCCATCAAATTAACCATAACAAAAAGTACTTTCTTGCAGAAACAGGTATCAGGATTAGAATCAGACAGTAGTTCACAAGAAACTACATATAGAAGGGGATATAACATCCTGTACAAATCAAAAGCCACTTGCCAATAAAAAAATTTCAGTCATGCAATACCCTGTACATGGAAGTGTTGAAGCTGCACCCCCACCCCCCTTTTTCCCCATGTCAAATACACTACAAATGTGGTTATTGATATGAATGCCATAATCTATCCAATTTAAAATTTTCTAAAATCACTATTCTGGAGTCCTTGTAATGGCTTCAAACACTCCTTGTTATAAAGATTAAATGATTGTTAAAAATAACTGTTTTAATGTTGATCAAGAATAAAATCAAGATTACAGATCACTGCATATTTAGCATCAACAAACACTACCCACTCTCTAATGAGTAAACTTAATTATAAAAAAAAATGTTACCCTTCTTCAAGGCTTTCGAATTCAACGGTAGCTTTGTCAGTCTCTATCTCACATAACACATCACCCACTCCAATCTATTAGGTAATGAAAATGATCAAAAAAACAAGACAGATGCAACAAATTAGTATTTACCTAGCAGAGGGAGGAAATAGCCCAATTGCAAGTTCAACAACCCTATAATCAAGTGTAACTAACCTTATCTCCTTCTTTTTTCATCCACTTAGCAATGTTTCCCTGGCTCTGCATGGGAAGAAGAAAAAGCAATCTTAAGCTCCAATGGTCGACAAGAAAGTATTGCAAAATTTTGTGGCCAGAAACTCCTAAATCAGATCATGTACAAACTTTTTTACCATTGTTGGGGATAATGCAGGCATCTCAAGAATGATATGAGGAGGAAGTTCAGATGCCCTGATCTTAATAGAACTTGCTTCTTGTTCTCTGACTTCATTTTGTGGAGTTGAGTTATCCTCTTTGACCTCTGAGTTGCCAGTGACAGTAGCAGGGACATTTTGGATATTGTCTGCATCCTCAACCTAGTGAACCACTACATGTTAGCATTTTGCAATCCTGAATACGTAATGCTCCAACAGAATTTATTGAAGTATACAATAGCAGCATGAATTGCGTCGACAAGAAAGTATTGCAAAATATTGTGGCCAGAAACTCCTAAATCAGATCATGTACAAACTTTTTTACCATTGTTGGGGATAATGCAGGCATCTCAAGAATGATATGAGGAGGAAGTTCAGATGCCCTGATCTTAATAGAACTTGCTTCTTGTTCTCTGACTTCATTTTGTGGAGTTGAGTTATCTTCTTTGACCTCTGAGTTGCCAGTGACAGTAGCAGGGACATTTTGGATATCGTCTGCATCCTCAACCTAGTGAACCACTACATGTTAGCATTTTGCAATCCTGAATAGGTAATGCTCCAACAGAATTTATTGAAGTATACAATAGCAGCATGAATTGCAAGGCTTAATGTTTACAACATAAAACAAGAAAATAGTTTCGATAATTATGTGATATGCTGAAAGGTTATTCCTAAAAAAAATATATATATATATATTAGAAAACATTGGGAAAAAAGAAATAAAATACTAAATAAAGCTAAATAAATTAGAAAATACTCGAAAACAAAAAGAAATATGTAAATACATACTTAAATACCTGAATGGCAAGTAGAGTCTAATCACCACAGGAAAGGAAACAAATTCAAAAAAAAAAAAAAAATTGACAGAAAAAAGCAAAAAATATTTGAGGTTTATCACAATTTACCGTAATTGCAATAGGTTGTCCCACAGGCACATCCTTTGAACCTTCAGGTACCAGTATCTTTGCCATATACCTGCCAGATAGCATTCCACCCAAACACATGCCAAAGATATTAAAAATGTGCCCAACCCAAAAAAAGATAGGTTTATGTGCACCACCCAATTCAACTTACACAATAAGATTTTGAATGGAACTGATGCTCTTTTTCAACACAGGTACATAATTGCATGGGAATATGTCATAGTGATGCACCAAAACAGAAATGCACAAAGAAAGAAGAACTGAAAAAGGCACAAAGAAACAAATCCAATTGGCTACTCTGCTTGCAGAGAGGGGGCCAAAAAAAAAAAAAAGAATCGGAGAAAACAATTGTGGGGGAAAATATACTGAGGAAATATCTCCCTTGTCAATGTCAAGAAAATTTCTGAGGAAAGGGATGTACTAGGCAATGTGTCACGCTGTCACTCCAAAGACTAGCATAGAACTTTCAAACCAATATTACATGCTGCCCAATATATATTATCAGTGAGAAAAGATAGAATTACCCCTCTTCAAGACATTCAAACTCAAGGGTAGCTTTGTCCGTCTCTATTTCACATATCACATCACCAACTTCTATCTGTCAAATTAAATCAATAGTCAAAAGAACAAGACTTGCTAAAATAATCAACAAAATGGCCTCTGGGCTTTCAAGAGGAAGGCTTCACTCTCTCCAATCATCTTTAAATTATATCAAATCTAAAAATGAATGACCCTAAGACCAACACAACATCAATCGTTTAATGAAACTGACCTTTTCTCCTTCTCTTTTCCTCCATTTTGCAATGTTACCTTGAGTCTGCACAAGAAAAGACAAGCATCAAAGTTGTTCATTCAAAAAGAAAGAAGAATCTGTGTCTCAATGTTTCAAAATAAATTCCTTCCCAGCAAACTTTACCATTGTTGGGGACAAAGCTGGCATTCCGATGACCATATGCAAAGGAGGCTCTGCAGTCACAGAATAAGCTTAGTAATAAGAAAACTGTGCAACAGATGGCTAACAAAATGTCATAAGTGCCTCTTTTTTACAACTAAAAATCTATATATATTTATGAACATACAGGCATGCAAACACACTCTAATTCACATTCTAATTCAATTGTTGACATGGAGGTTTGTTCTCTCTAGAGTTAGAAGCTTCTTCCATGTCTCCTTGCCGTGGAGAAGATGGATGCTTTCATGTCTATTTGCTTCCATAGAGAAACCATCCATGTGCCCCTCCCTGGTTTTTAATAAAGGGAAGCTTTGGTTTTGTGTGCCCAACCTATGGACTTAATGTTTCATCCTTTTGGGTTTATTTACCGTTGGGTTCTTGTCTTTTTGAGGGTTTGTGAGGTTTTCACCTGTCTTCCTTTTGATCATCCATTGCTGGAATACTTAATGTTGCTGAGGAACACTGTGCTTGTGACCTGTTTGGCCTTCTACATTGTATTTTTTTTATGGTGAGGCGTAGCTTTTGAGTATGGTGGCACAGCCACAGTGCAGTGTGACTTTCTTGAGAGATGAAAGGGGGATGAAGCTTTGAGTTGCTGCCTTGAGCACCTAGTTTTGGTTGATGTTTTGTGTTTGGGTGTATTGATCTTAGGGGTTTTGTTCATGTGTTCATGCTATGTGAGATTGCTAAAGACCCAAGATAGGCCAGTTGTGTTGAGTCTATGCTTCTAATTAGGTGATGGAGGACAACTGAGAGCTGACAAATTATGAAAGCTTGTCTGCCATGGTAATAGTTTGTGCTGTTCTTGAATAAGTGGGTGTGGTGACTGAATTTTGGGGGGATTGGAGTTTGGGATTGGTTGGTGCTTTGAGCATTTCTGGAGGTTGCTGCTATGCCATTGGGAGGTAAGAGATGATTGACCCTTCATGGGCAGCCGTGCATGTAGCTTCTAGGTTTTGATCGTGACTTGTCAGCTACCTCCCCTGCACTGCTGACTATAAATCTCAGGCATACACATGTGAAAAGCATGTATGATTTCATCTACCACCCAGCATCATTTTTCTGCTTTTGAGTTTAATCCTACAGCTGGATCTCATGGGGGAGTAGTGATATTGAGGCGTTGAATGAGTGGGTGTGATAGACTGGTGCTAGCATCACGAGGGACACATGTTGTGGACAGGCTCCTTTGGGAGCTCCGTGGCTGAGTCTTGAACAGTCAAGTTTGTGAAGGTGTTCACGTGTTGGAGAGGCATAGTAGGTTATATGTGGAGGTGCTAATGGGCGAGCTCATTGCAAATGGCATTAGATGCCACAAGCACCTACTTAAGACATGCATATATGATATTGTGCTGGTAACCAATCTACTCAAGAGTGCAATGCAACTTATTTCACCCTATTTCACAGAAGTGTATTTTATGAGGCCACATGGAGCAGAAATGTACTGCAGCTACTTTATTCTCAAATGTTTATATTTCGGCGCTGGTGGGTAACATTGTGATGTTGCGGGTAGCTGTGTGTTTGATTGTTTCGGGCTGTGTCTGTGTATACGTTCACGTATGTTAAGGTATGTGTTTTCAGCCTATGTAATTTTTGGTTATAAAATTTGTGTTCCCTACCAAAAATAAAAAAGAAAAAGAAAAGACACAATTGTCGACGTTCTCATGGGCAACTCGATTTGAGAAGTGGCAATGGCCGTAAATCTCAAGACCCTATAACCAGCTGAAACCCAAACTAGGATAACATGTGATCCTACCTGATACACTGAACTGAATCATATACTTTGTCCAAGCTAAGAAGTCACAATAAACACTGTAACATACATGCAATACGGTTCTTCAAACAAACATTAACACATGCAAGTTGTTTTGAAACTAAGGCCTCGTTTGGGAACAGGCTAATTTAGTAACTTTTTGGCTATTTGGCTAAAATGGTAGGTAAAAAAAACTTGTATGTTTGGGATGACTTTTTGGCTAATTACGAAAAGATGTGCAAAAAGTAGAGAGAAAAGAGAATCTTTGACTTAGTCTATAAAAGACAAAAAGTCAACCACCAAACAGCGTACTCTAAAAAAAAAAAAAAAAAAAGGTACACAAGCTAAATTTGTATTGAAGTGATGGTACAAGCTCACGTGTGAACAGGAACATGTTAAAAAAAAAAAAAATTAGATATATATATGGATGAGGCTTCCAATGAAGGATTTGAGGGTACTGTTGGGCCCGTGGGGGTCCATCACGGGTCCCGTTTCAATAATCTAAATTGTTCAATGTGTACAACTTGTCGAGTACTATATACTTGTAAAAAATCACGTTGATCGGATATCGATAGCTATGTGATCAAATCAGATTTTTGTCAGTAGTTTATTTTTCACAGTCCATTTTTTTTTCATACAAAACTGATTTGATCACATAGCTATTGATATCCGATCAACGTGATTTTTTACAGACATATAGTACTCGATGAGTTCTACACATTGATCGGTTTGAATTATCGAAACGGGACCAATGGTAGGCCCGCACGGGCCCAACAGTACCCTCCAGTCCGATGAAAGACTGGAAGGAGGTCTCATCCTATATATATATATTCTGATGCTTGCCCATCATCTCATTTCAAAGCAATTCGTACTGGTTCCTTCAATCGTCACTGTCGGTACGCATAGGGCATAGGGGTAATACGGTAATTTTGCTATTTTATACAATATACACATTTTTTCGTAAAAAGTCCAAAAGTTATCCCAAACAATCATCTTTTTTTTCCTCTACTTTTTTATCCAAAAAGTCAAAAAATGCACTTACATAGTTCATTCCAAACAACTCCCAAGTAAAGAAGAGTAATCACAAAACAAAAACAAGAAAAACCAAACAAACAAACAGAGAGAGAGAGAGAGAGAGAGTATAGGAACATTATTGTAACATAGTTAGAGATTTATGTTAGCATTGCTGAAAGACATATTGTTCCCTTAAATATATAAGAACATTCAAGAATCAGGAACTCAAAGTTTAGGCTAGCACAGCTCAGCATTTTGGAATGGGAAACCAATAGAAAGTCACTTCATATGCATTGCTGTAAATACTTACTGTCTTACGACAATGAAGAAAGCCAAGAGTTCAAGTAGTTTAGGCTGGCACAGTTTTAACGGAGCTTTGAGCTGGGCTGGGTTCAGGATGGTTGGACTTCACTGGTCAAGCTAGCTGGCCTAATATGCACCACTGATTGATTTATAGAACACAACCAATATGTAAATCAGCTAGTAATGCATAGTCCCATTTTGAATAGTGACATTATCATTATTTATTCATTTTAGCCAAGCAAGGCTATCCTAACAATTTGAGCGTGAAGATTCTTAGTTCTCGGGTATCTTACACTTCACACATGATCATAAACACTTTGCTAAATTTCAATGCCACCCAAGTTCTCAAATGTAAGCAGCTGAAAAGGACCACACAAATAATAGGAACAAGAGATAAAATAAGCAAGTTCATGAGCATCCATAAGATAAATGTAGAAGATATAACAAGAGATTTAAAATATATGGTATAATTTATACCTGCAGATGAGAAATATCTGACACTGGTCAACTGCACAATCATAATTATCATTAGAAAAAAGATTTACCAAGAAAGCACAAATACCACTTTATTTTGAAGACTAACCTTCAGCTTCGGAGAACTATCATGAACTCCAGAGAACACTGAGCAAGGTGCAGCCCTGTCAGTGAATTGCAAACAAAAGGGGAAACAGAAGATTAGCATGTTGGGTTGGTTTATATCAACAACTGAGCAAACAACCTAACAGACCCAACCTGGCTTCATGACTGGATTCATTTTTCTGGCAGTGTGTGGGTTTCAAAGTTAACAAGGCATGAGTCAGCAATGCAAGAACTATCCTAGCATAATGACCTCGATTTGACTTGGATTCAGTTTTATAACATTTTTTTGGTGCTAGAAAGGAAAAATATGAACTGAATTGAGGCCCTATATGTTGATTCACAAATATTCAGGACCACCAAGGGCTCCTTTGTTTGTGCAAATAGCCTTATTTTATGAATTGCTCCACGTTGAGTTTACAAATTCAATAATTGAAAATTTACTAGCAAGTTAATTCAAGTTTTGACTAGTCATCAAACAAAATTAATCTAGAATAATTCTACATTTTAAAAGAAATAAACAAATTTAATTTGTAGATTTTTTAGTTGTCTCATTTTCAGCCAAACAGATCTGATCATCCAACTTGTTCATAGGCAGCTCTAAATTTACATTTTCAGAACAAGAAGCAGACCCTAATTTATTATATCCTTGGTTATTGTGCAAGACAAACAACCATTAGAACGTGTTGGGGTTTGAGATGAACCAGTGCTTCCGAAGAACCTGAGCCAGGTTGGGTCAGTTGAATGTGCCAGTTTGATATGTCTGTCAAGCTGCTTTACAAAATGATTCTCTAGCTTTATTTAGTTTTGATGTCAACATCAGCAACCTGAACCAAGTTACACCCTAATAATTACCAAGACAAAAAGGTTGCTGAACATAAAGATAAAAAGTGCACTAGTTCATTCCTGGTATTTGGTTGCCAAATTAGGGGGAAAAAAAAAACCTTAAGACAAACAATATTCACATTAACCTATGAAGCCGATGAATGGGTGACACGTCTACCAGAGAAAACAAATGAAAAGGCTATAGATGCGAACCTTAACAGTGCACCGCCAGCATTAACAAAACTTTGTTGCAACCTGCATACGCAGTGGCAACAAGTCCAGAATAAGCAAGGACATAAACAGAAATATGCAGCTTTATACAAGTGGAAATACATTCAATGCACAAAGAAGGCAATAATGGAATAACAGCTGCTCCCTTAGGTGATCATATGTTTAGAAAAGAATGTATTTCCGTACTTTAAAATGGGCATTCTGGCCTATAAATCTAGAATCCAGATAATTTCCCAGCCTAAAGCATGTATAATGTATTAGCTAACTACCTGGTTGCATGAGTGTATGCACAGAACAAACAGAATAGATTGCCCTCCTGGAAAAATAGTATTGGTCAAGCTTCAGAGTAAACCATCATTCTACGGCCAACTGACCTCCTAGGAATAAACAATCATAAAGACCATGTTTTGAAACAGGACCTACCTGTGCAGTTAAATCAACCATATCTATGCCAATAAAGAAATCAATTTGGCAGAGCTCTTGAAGGGGGGAAATCTTACTCTAAATTCAGTTCAGTTCAAATCTATTATATGCTATTAAGCATGGGTACTTCGACAAACATTCCGTACCCGTACCGGATACTTACTGGCATATGGTACTTCTGCATACATACTGGGTACACGAAACACGTACCCAAATTTTTTCTTCTTAATTTCTGGCGTACCTAGTATACACCCAAGGCGTATCGTACCTTAATCGAAACAATATTTTCTTCTACTACAGAGATAAAATTCCTTTCACTAGTCTTCTTTTTTAGGATAAATTACACATTGCTCCCTTTATGTTTGATCAATTTCCAATTTTGGCCCTTAAAATTTATTTTTTCCCACACTGGCCCTTTATGTTCAAATGTTTTCATGTTTACTCCTAAAACTAATTTCTATTTAAAATTAGACATAAAATGCCATAATAACTGTCACATAATATAAAAAAATATATTATTATATTGGAGTTTAAGTTTATATTAGAGATGTGAATTGTATATAATAAAAAAAATTTATGTCACGTGATTGTTAATGTGTCATTTTCTGTCTAATTTTTAACAAAAATTAGCTTTAGGAATGAATTGGGAAAAACTTAAAATATGAAGGGCCAAAGTGGAAAAAAAATAAACTTTAAGAGACAAAGTGAGAAAGTGACCAAACATAAAAGGGGCAAAATGTAATTTACCCTCTGTTTTATTTTTAATTTTATGCTTAGCATGATTTTAAAATTAAGCTATGCTTTCTAAGTTATTTGATATATTGACATTTAATTTTGGTTTATACCTTTACTTTTGGCATTAAATGTTAATTATAGGTTGGATCTTAACAAATTAAACCATTTAATCAATTTTCACATTATTCCGAATTAAATATAAATATTTTTTTACAAATGTACCAAGCTGTACCTGTACCTTCTTTTTTTTTTTTTTAGATTTTACCATATTGACTTACCTGTATCATACCAGTACTCGTACCCGTACCCGTACCCGTGCTTCCTAGATTTTATGTTTCCATATGGCTGTCGGTACAGTTATATTTACATTTTGTTTTGTTAAAGAGTTAATCATATTTTGGTAAGGTTGGAGGCTAAATTTTGTTTTTGTTTAAGGGCTTCATTATGTTTTTTAGGCCAGATTGATAGGTCCAATAGGTTCATATAGAAGCCTTCGATTGCTTGGTTTTTAAGATTAAGCCACTTCGCAATTGGCTGACAAGGCAGAGAGTCCTATATACTTTGTTCATTTGGCTTTGTTTCGGAATAGTAAATTAAGATATTTAGTTGTGATGGGTGACGCATTTTCTCTTAGGTTCAAGTACCAAAAACCCTAGGTGTGATTGCCTGAGCTCCACTTTTTTTCATTTCACCACTTTTTATAAGCAAATGTTGATCCGCTTTGCCCAATCTTGTCCAAAAGAGTTTTTAGATATCAAATTGTTGCCACTTTCTAATCAACTTGATAATTTTATCGTTGATGTGGGCCCTAGTGTTGAGCTTTCAGATTCTAAAGGAATTAGTGACTTTGTTTAAAAGATGGTTAAGACTAGAAGAGATAAAGTATATTCATTGGTTTATAGACTTCTAAATTTGGCCATCTGTTGCGAACACCGATGTAGAGGTTGTGAAGAACCAGCTTTGCAACCTAATCAGGGTCAATGGATAAATGTTATCTTGGTTGTGTATAATGAGAAAGACATTATTAGCAAAAAACCAAAATGAACTATGATACGAGGCGTCGAAATTTGAAAAACTGATCACGTGCAATATGAAGATCAAATCACAAGGTACAGCAGAGAAACATAGCATTCAACAAGTAAGAAGAAACGATTGAAATAAACAGTATAATGATCCAAATGTAAAGAGCGTAGAGAGAGAGAGAGAGAGAGAGAGAGAGAGAACCGTGAGAGGGATCTGGAGGAGGTGGTGGTGGTGGAGGAGAGGAGGCGGGCCTTGAAGAGAGAAGGGGCACGAGAGATCACGGGATGTCGAAGCCGAGACAGCGCCATCGATCATCCGCCTGCGTTGTTGTTTTGATGTCTATATAGAGAGAGAGGAAGCTGTATGTATATATAGATATATATATATAGGGAGAGAGAGAGAGAGAGAGTTTTTGTTCTCAGTACTCAGGTAGCGCCATCTCGTCTTTGACCGAAGAGCCTCAGATTGCAAAAGGCGAGCTGCGGGGGCTGCGGGCAGTAGGTGCCAATTGGGGTTCGGTTTACGAACGGGTGGGTTTTTCGGAAATATAAATACCCAAAAAAATAACAGCACTGTATTTTTTTTTTGGATCAAATAACAGCACTGGTTGGTAGCACTCAGTAGCTTGAATTTGAGATTGTTCAAAGTTACTTTAATTTTGACTTTTTGTTTGGTCGGTCATCTAACAAGAAGTTGATAGTCGCAGTTGATAAGGATGACAACCGTAGTAGACAAGTATTGTACCGCTCATTTGAACAGTTGTCTGGATGGTCAATGACAAACACAAATTAAGATTTTCGGACAAACTCAAATTTGAGCTACCAATTATTTTTTAAAAAAATAAACATCTTTAAATTTTTGTAATTATGAAAAAATTTATTTTAAACAAAGATAAACGTATTTTGAAACCTTGATATAAGAAAGTGTTTGATCATAGAATTTCTAGAATTTATGAACAAAAAAGCAAAGACAAAAGGTATTAATAAATGTAAGATAGTATATACTTGAAATAATATGAAATTTGATTAGGATATAAAAAATGATGTGGCAACGAATATCCAGTGCTTTGGCCTCCGATGGTGTCAGGACCTGGACTCGCGTCCTATAATAATCAGCTAGTAATCATGAGATTACCTATGGCCTCAAACACGATTAAACATATCTTAATTATAAATAAGGGGCCAAAACAGAAACATACTTTAAAAATTTTGTCTAATGAATTGTGCTTATATGGCATATTAAAACATTACCCATATGCTTGATAATAACTCACACCATAAACCAAAATTAACATCTTGTTCATCCAGGATCATTCAAACATGTAGTCAACCAAACTGAAAGTTTATATACATAGGTGATCCAATGAAATTACCAAGGTAGCAAAAGAGTAAAACAAAATAACAAAAACAAAGTCTCGTGCGTGAGACATCTAGGCTGACTCCACAAAACTTGGGTTTCTCTCACATTCTTTACTGAGGCTGGGGTTGGACATCTCTTTGCTCACCTATATATATATAAATAAGAATGAGCGAAAGACCAATGAATAATACAAAGATAAAGGGATTATATGAATGAGATTCATATTAAATACTTCAACCCGTAAACTTCATATGCAAACGGCCTTAAGTGGCCTTAAACCTATTATGTGTTTTTGTTGTACACGTCAAGGCCTATTTTAGATCCTTAACAAACATATATGACGGCCTTGGGCCCATTGTATAACTTGTCAAATTCATCAAACGGCCTCGGGCCCAATTCAAACCCTTTAAACGTATCAAACGACCTCAGGCCCATTAGTTCCATATTCATATTTATGCGCATTTCATATTCATGATCATGATCACTTTTCCATTCAAATGGCCTTTGGCCCATTACATTTGTAATCAGACGGCCTTTGGCCCATCACGTTCATAGTCAAACGAGTATCAAACGGCAAACGACAAATGATGTTAGGCCCAATTCAGACATATCAAACAGCCTTAGGCCCAAATCATGTTCTTCACAGAGCCTTATATAAAAATTAGGCATATAGAATATTCATTCATAAGTCAAACCAACAAATCTATGAAGCTTATACAAAAGTAGTATTTGAAAAATAACATACTTGAAAATATCTTCACTAAGATATTACTCACAGTGTTCCGTCGATGGATTTGTCCTCGCGCTTGACCCTACACATTTCATAACACGTTGTTTCATAAACAATTCAATCCGTTCTTAACTTGTTTATTTCTCTTAGGCTTCTTTCTTATTCCTTTAGTTCATTTACAATGCCCAATGCATGTTTAAGAGTGCTTAGAAATGAAAAAAAAAATGAAAAACGGAAAACGGAATATGAAATGACTTTTCAAAATTTCTGAAACAGGGCACTCCGCTCAAGGGTAGCTTTGGTCGCTCAAGCAGTCTGCAAAACTCTGTAAAAGTACTGGTTGCATAATTTTTACGCTCAAGTGAGATTTTTGTCGCTTGAGCGATGAGTCTTGCAAAACAGGGTTTGCTCGAGCGCAAGGTTTGCTGCTCGAACTACTGTGCAATTTTCTGTAAAACTTCTAGGAGCTTGATTTTTACACTCGAGCGAGACTTTCTTCGCTCGAGCGGACAGGCCGAATTTTGGAATTTCCAGCATACTTTTTGAGCTTCAAAACACAACTCTACATGGTGCAACTTGCATATGATGGCCTATATGTCAACCATACAACTTCTATCATGATATAAATGTCAATTTTTACAAGATTTGAAGCTCAAATCCTTATAGCTTCATCACATAAACTCAAATCATTTCAATTCTTCCCTTTTTTAAACATAAATTTGTAGAATTGAGGTTCATACCTTGGTAATTCATACATGCATGTATCAAACAATTCTCAATTCAACATGGGTTATATGTTTTAAGCTCAAACATGCAAAATCATGACAATTTTCTGCATGCATGTACATATAGACTTCAATTTCATCATACATAACTTAAATTTTGTTCTTGGTTACCAATTCTTCATGTTTAACATGCCTCAAGCTCAAATGTACATAATCATGGTGAATGCTTACATACATGTATATACAAACTTTAATTTCATTATATATATATATATATATATATTCAACTGAAATCTCATTCTTGGCTTCATATTATTTTGAATTCACATAACCATGATCTTGAACTCATAAATTAGAGGTTAATTACTCACCTAAAACTTTAATTCTCCCAAATCTAACTAATTTCTTGAGCCTAACTTCCAAATTCCCAAAATTCGAGCCAAAATCCACAATTTGTGCACGCTCTCTCTCTAGAACCATCTCTCTCTCTCTCTCTCTACAGTGCAATTCAGCCAAGCATGAGAAATGAGCTCAAATATGAGCTTATACATTAATCTCCCATGTATTTATAAGCTAGACTAATCAACATTACTAATCCAAGCTTAGTATTAATCAATTAGACTTAATTAATAATTAAATTGATCTAATTATTTTGGTCCGAATCATTTTTTAATTAAATTTCACTATAGGCTCAAAAAATCATGCTAATCACAATGACATAGTCAATTTCACTTTTTGTCGCCTCCACGACTTTCAATTTAAATTTTATAACAAAAAATCAAACAGATTTTTCTACGGTAAACAGATATAGATTCAAAAACATAATTAGCACCCAAAATCATATTAAGCACATAATCACATTCATAATTAAGATTAATTAACATAACACAAAACATGGTTATCACAAATGGATTTCTGTCAAATTCTAATGTTTATGACTTTGATTTTGTGATTTTATCATTTTTTAAATAATTGATTCATTTATAATTTGGTTTAGACAAATCAAATTGAGAATATATTTTTTTATTATATAATTTGTAAGTGGGCATCGTGACTTTTTTGAGTGTAATGCCCATTTCCCACACAAATGTTGTATCAACTCACTTTGACCGACAAAGAGTTGTTACTTAATTTTTAAAGGGGAATTAAGAAAACCTTTAGCAATGAAAATTAAACTAAAGACTAGTCCATCATAACTAGTAATTTCTAAGTTCGAAAGCTTAGGTACAAAAGAAAAATGTCATTGAATTATAGCATCATCTTTTGCTCAATTCGAAAATTGGCCTCTACTCACTTTTTTATTTTATTATTTTAGTAGTTAATTATTCATACAAATTCATTATTGGACATAAAAATCTTTTACTAACCCTATGAATTAGATGATTTAGTTATAAGAATAAAGCCGCATTTTCTACGAAAGCAATGTTTTTCAACCAAAAAGAGATTTTTAATATAATACAGTCATAAATTTGAACTAAAATAAACAACATTCATGAAAACATCCAAAATAGCCAATTTTGCAAGAAAAAACACATAACTTAGATTATTAAAAACCAAAGCAATCAAGACATGTATATGCTATGGAGATTAAGAGGATTTACCAGGTTGCCCACTTCAGCGTCGTACATGCAATACATAAATTAAATATGATCATAATATGCAACTAATACATACAAAATGCAACATAGGTCTGGTTTGAGGCTACTAGATGATGAACATGCATAAGAAACAAATAGCAAATAAAAAACTAACTATATGATGATTCAAATTGGGCCATGCATGATTATTATATGATTAGAATAAGCCTAAAAAATATGTTGTTCTAAAAACATAAAGAAAACATGCGAAGATGAGTGAGAAGATATGGGAAATAGACAAACTAATAATGATCACGCTGATTCTTAAGAATCGAAGAGCACACAAAAGAAAAGTAAGAAAAAGCGAAGTTTCTTACATGCAAGCCTTCCTCAAGTAAATATTATAAGTTAGGGTCCAAGTCCTTTAGTTCTTAGAAAATTTTTATGTATTTTTAGTTGGTGTGGGTAGGGGAATTTCGGAGTCAGGGAGGGGGAAGAAAAGTGGTGTTTAGCTCTCAAAATCACTCAAAAGCTCTCAAAATTCTTAACCTTTTGAAAGGGAGGGGGAGAGGTCCCCTTTATAAGTAGAGGGGAAGGTTATGGAACCCTTTTAGGGTTTCATCACTTCCCCCCTTGTCGCATCCTTCATAAATGCACCAAGATTGAGTTTCCCAAACTGGCTCTGCTACGCTTGGATATGCACATGTGCAACCAATGTGCGCACGCACGACTTGTTTTGGTGCACATGACATCCATACATACACAAGCGCGGAGTCCCATGCCCTTAGCTTGCTTATGGCTCAAGTAAGCCCGAATTGCTCTCCGATCAATGTTTTTGATAAATTCGGCCACTAATTTTGGAAAATGTCTTAGCTCAAAGTACAACCAGGCTTCCCTCTTTTTTTGAGGTTAAAAAGTTAATTTTTAGCTAAAAACGAGTGCATGGGTAAAATGGTTATTTTTGCAAAAAGTTAATTTTTAGCTAAGACAAGTTTGTATAGCAACTCCAAACAACTTTAAACATTCTAAAGATGATGTAGTTATTGTTTCATCATCAGAAGGCTTACAAGCACCCGAAATCTTAGGGTCAGTCAAAATGGGGTGTCTACATTGTGTTTTCATTATAGT